AGCTGCCAGACTGCCCTAAGAAAATCCACTCTGAAGACCCTGTTATGAAGGAGCTCTCATCGAGTCATGTCAGCTTCATATCTGACCTCACACCCTAAGGAGTAGAAAGGAGGAGAGAAGGGCATGGAAGGATCATTGTCAGTTTTTGTTCCCTAACTGGAATACAGTTCCTTGCGGGCCACTGTAACTGAACCAGAGAAAGCCTGAGCAGAGATCCATAATCCAGGATTTTGATAGCAAAAGAAGATTGATCAGCTCTTCACTGCCTGAATGTGGCACAGAAACTGCCCTGAACTCGAAAATGTCAAATCTCTTCTTCATTAGTCCCAAAGCTGCAGCAAGAGCTGCCAGAGCTGCCAGGGACTGAGGGTCAGAGCAGCACACAGGGCACTGCACAGAGCTTCCATGGTTATCTCCTCTCTTTACACCATGCCTTCAATCACTCCTTTTCACAGTAAGGAAGCTTATCATTTCCTCAACCAAAATCCCTGAAACTGAAAAGGGAGAGGTCCATAGGCACATATCCCTGTTCCATACTGAGCCTGTCACACTTGTACCCCTGCACTCATCCATGCTATGAGGTAAATTAAACTCAACACCAGCTCCTACATTTAGCACACTTTAAAATCCAAATTACCAAAAAGTAGGACAGCTTTTCCCTCCTGACCTCCTCTCTTGCCCTCCCACATCTCCTACCCAAGATATCTACAGACTGCCTTGGCTTCAATAACATGAACACATTATTTATGGCAACTTTACTACACCAATGTAATCAGGAGCAAATGACAGAGGTGGAAGAAGCACCCAAGGATAAGCATGAAGAAACAGACAGCCCTAATCCTTCAACACATGGAAAACACCCAGCCCTGTCCCCCCTTCTCAGCTGATCTAAAAGTTAAATACACCCCAAAAAACTCCTGAATGAACACCCAGCCCTGTCCCCCCTTCTCAGCCGATCTAAAAGTTAAATCCACCCCAAAAAACTCCTGAATGGTTTAGCTCATTGTTTTTACTCCACTTGCTTAATATTTAGCCCTGAGTCTCCTCCCACACAGGCTGTCTGCTGGCATCAATAAAATCCATTTACTCTTTTCCTCCCTCAAGATACGTATCTCGATACTTAATGCAGTCGAAATGCTTTTATTTCCATCTGGAGCTCTCTTATCTCCCTCAGTGCTATGGAGCTTCTTACCAGAGAATTAGCAGAGGAGGTAGAAGCCCACACTGACGCAGAAAAAGAGGTGTGGGAGGTGTCCCTGCCCAGGGCAGGGGGTTGGGACTAGATGATCTCTAAGATCCATCCCAACCCCTTAACATGCTATGAAACTATGAAGAGGAAAGCAGAGGTTTTTTCCCCCATTATCAACCAGGTTTCCTTCTTCTCACATGGGCATTTACATCTTTACTCTTGTTTGGCACATGCCTGGCACTGGGAAAATGAAAATCCCAAGCTCTGTGCTACAGAAACTTGTTTCAGAAGGGATCCTAAGGATTCTTTGTTAGAAAGCTCACCAAATATAGCCATGAAAGGGCTAAACTAGTTTCTGCAAAAGCCTGGGGCTTATGCAGCTATTCCTGTGGATGTGGATGCAATTTGATACTCAGCTTTGCTGGGCAGACCAACAAAAACTCCTGCTTCTCTGGCAAGTGCACATGATTAAGCCTCCAAACTGTGAATTTTACCGAAGCAGAAAATGTGAGAGAGCCCCTGGAAGTGCAGAACCTGAACATATTCCCTCAGGAGAGCCTGGTGACAACTTGATTACCCTGTTTTCCAGGAGACACCAGCAGCTGCAGCGTGGGCACTGCACACAGAGTGCAGCAGTTCAGCAGTGCAGGGAGAGACTGTGTAATTAGCCTGTGTCACCCCTGGATACACTATGCAATTAGCTTGTGCCACCTCTGTACTTACACTCTGCAGTCACAGAGTTATTTAGTCATGGGAGCACCATGTAAAAGGTTCCTGCCCTGAAGTTGCACTGGAAAGGATTTAACCTAATGTCCAACATCCAACATACAATTCTAAACCTCAAGCTCCTTCCATTACTGTGCTCTTTGCCTAATGGCAACTATTGACCATGTGCTTCCTGCTTCACCCCCCTCATTAATTATTGAGAAAAAACACATTCAGTGTTCCAGGGCAGCTCCAAGGAAAAGAGGAATAGACGTGACAGGAAAGGAAGAGTGGAATTTGGAGAATAATGGAGGTTCTTGTCAAATTCCTTCTAACCAGTAAGCTAAACAAATTAAAACAAAGTAATTCCTTTGAGATTCCAAGCAAAGGAGAAAGCCAAACATTTTGGGACTATGAGCACAGAATTTAGCATAAAAGTAGAAAATAAAACCTACATCTAATTTCATCAGCAAGTTTTTCTTTCTCACAGAGTTCAAAGCAAAAACAAATCAACTTGAAGGAACTTGATGTTTTCCAAAGCCTTTCTCCAGTGACACTTTAGATATGGGCACAGGAGGTAGAAGTGCCATAAAGTCTGAGGTTCAGGACAAATTGTGAAGATGAAATGCTGGAATATCACAGAGCTCTTAAAATGCAGAGAATCAGCACTTTAAAGGAAAAAAGAAAAGGTTGGGAAAGGACCCAAAACTGATGAAGAGGTGATACAATGATGGGTTTGAGAGCACTGACTGGTAAGGGCTTAATGGAAGTAAATAGATGAACTGGAATAAACAAGAGACAAATCAGTTCTTGAGAGAGAAGAGAAAACTCAGAAAAATGAGGTCAAGCAAATGAGATAAATAACCCAGGCCTGAATATCAAAACAAGCAAAAAAAAATAAAGAGTGAAATCTACCTCGTTGGCTGGGGTGACATAATAAAATTGAAAGCCAGAAAGCAGTAGGAAAACAACAGTAGAAAAAGGCAGAGAGAACAAGCAGGCATTTAGAAATAGCCTGATACAGCATGGAATGGCACAAGTGGGAAGCATCAGTCAGAAAATAGGCCAAGGAGCTGACATCCACCTCACAGACCAGGAAAAAACACAGCTCATCAAGAAGCACATGCTGAGCACAGCAGGATCAGTTCCACAGCCTCCAGCCTCTTACCTGAGGTGGGAAAAGCAAAATCCCAGAATAACATTCTGGGGTAGAGTTGATTATGAATACAAACAGCCAGAATTATTTAGAAAGCAAGAGGCATGAAGAAACACACAACATCACAGTGGCCCAGAAAACACAACCACCTCAAAGTCCCACATGTAGCTCAGGACTGATGGCACACTGCAGCAGGAGCTGAAAAGGGAGTTTAGAAAAGGAAATAGAGGTACGTGACACAAATTGTGTGTGTGAACTAATAGTAACTCTAAACAATAGGATGATGGAAGAAATCAAGGGCATTAATCATTATTATTGGCAATGAGGCTAACCACAGTCATCATATTGAGTTCCTAATTAAGAAATACCTATATCCCCCTTGAAGCATTAAGTCCCAAGCCATGTGCTACTTCCAAGATCCAGGAAGGCACCAATCTTGCACAGCAGCATATTCTTCAACCTGTTCTATTAGTGAGCTTTGAAAATGCAGTTACACCCAGATCAATCCATCCTAACACCCCCAAAGGCCTGGGCAATGCTTGGAACAGAACTCTGAAGGGTTCCCAGCAAAAAGGAATAATGAATCTAAGAAGAAGGGCCTGGCAAAGCAGCATTTAACCCAGCAAAGCTCAGGTTCTGGCCACACTTGCTTATTTGGGTTATGAAGCACATGAATCTTGGATCATAGTTGCCTCTCCTTTGGGTTAAGTGCTCTAGAGACCTTGAAGAAAGGAGATGTCAGCATTAAAATTCCCATGTTCTTTGCACTACCTCTTGCTGGAGATAAAGCCACCTGAGAGATGGGGTAGAGCTCATCTGGGCACTCAAAGCCCTCCTGTAAGCTAAATGATTTGCTGTGGGATGTGTTCTAGTAGCACTAGCCCATACTTACACCCACCACTCACGTTTAGAGGCATACAATCATTAAAGTTGGACAAAACCTCCAAGATCAAGTGCAACCTTTGACTGAATACCTCTGTGCCCACTAAACCACATTGCAGAGCACCACATTTACACTTTTTTTGAGCACTTCCAGGGACTCCACCACTGCCCTGGGCAGCTGTGCCAGTGCCTGACAACCCTCCCAGTGAAGAAACTTTCCCTAATATCCAATCTAAACCTCCCCTGGCACAACCTGAGGCCAATTCCTCTAATTTTATTGCCTGTTACTAAGAAGAGGCCAAGCCCCATCACTCTACAGCCTTCTGTCAGGTAGATGCAAAGAGTGAGAAGGTCACCCCAAGAGTCTCCTCTTCTCCAGGCTAAACAACCTCAGCTCCCTCAGCCTCTCCTCATCAGACTTGTGCTCCAGACCTTTCCCCAGCTCCGCTCCCTTCCCAGGACACGGTCAGGCTCCTCAATGTCTTCTGTCATGAAAGGTCCAAAACTGACCCCAGAATGTGAGGTATAACCTCAGCAGTGCCCAGCTTGGGGGACAGTGTCTGCCCTAGGCCTTTGCTCCAAAGGGCTATAAAAAAATGCAAAAATGTCATAAAAAAAGAAATAACATATGTTTTGGAGGCAGAACTCACTCATAGAAATGGGACTTGGAAATGGAGAGGAAGCTGCAGTCTCTGTTGGCCTTGATGGTGAAGATGAGTGGTTCCCCGGTGAGGACGGCGAGTTGGCCTACGAGCTCCCCAGGGTGGGTTATGAAGAGGCAGGTGTCCTCCTCAGAGTCTATCTTCCTCTGGTACACATGGAGCATCCCCGAGACCACAAAGCAAACGTTAACATCCTGGAGGAAATGGAAAAACAGCTCAATAAAATTCCCATAGAGTTGCAAAGCAATTATCACAGTGACAGCACTATCACGACCGATCTGGTTTCCAGAAAGCTCCCAATGGGTTTGGAACAATTAGGTGATAAAATAAGACACAATGGTGAATTATTCAAAGCAGGTTATGAATATTTAAAGCTAAGCAGCCACAATATTGAAAAATGTGGTTCTCTTTGGGTGGGTATGAGAAATGAAGGCTGTAGTGGCAAGATCTCAAGGAATAACAGCAGCACTGGGAGTGGAGGAGATAATGGGGAGCCACAGCAATAGGACAAGGGGCATAGTGGAGGAGATAATGGGGAGCCACAGCAGCAGGACAAGGGGCATCACAGGGCAGTGGAGCAGGACATAGCAGCACTGCCACTGGAGCTACCCCTCATCTGCTTTGCATAAGCTCATCTATTTACAGGGTTATCATAAATGAAGCTCATCATATATGAGACAGAGAAGATTCAGATTAGATGTTAAGAGAAATGTTTTCCCTGTGAGGGTGTTCAGGCACTGGGATATTGCCCAGGGAGGTTGGTTGAGTCACCATCCCTGGAAGGGTGTAAGAGGCATCTGGATGTGGTGCTGAAGGTTTAGGGGTTACAGCAGAGACAGGTTATGGGCTGGACTTGAAGACCTTACAGGACTCCTCCAACCTTGATGGTTCTATGATTCTATCCTAACTACACTTTTCTCCAATCAAATAACAATGGGTGGCTGTTGTATGGGGGGAACTCCTTCACTGCAGCTGAGTGACATCCCCAAAATCCTGTAGTGAGGGGCATGACATAAGGCTTCTCAGTCTCCACAGCTCCTGAGGAAGGATGGAGGTAGGACACTCCACACCTTCTCATGAGGTACATCAGACACACAACACACAGGTACTAGATTTCCACTCTGCTTACACCACTACTCCCTGTGTGAAGGAAGGTTCTTCTCCACCTTGAGCAGAGACAGTTTGTGAGGGGTCAGGTGTGCATTTTTTATTTATCATCAATGCATACAAATACCTCACGGTGGGGGACAAAGCGTGAGCCAGACTTGGGTTCAGATGGTGCTGACCCACCTGATCTCCTTGCCTCGACAGCACAGTGCCAGCAGTAACCTGATGCAGTGTCACTTTGCCATTCAACAGTGCAGGATTCTGGAGAAGAAGAGGGTGAGAGATACAATTTACTCCTCTGT